GTTAAATAAAAACTTTCAAAGGTATAATCATTCCTCGTTCTTATTTTTGCTTAATGCATTTAACGCTGCATGTCATCCCTGAAATTCTGATGCACAGAATCACAAGTCCAAGTGTGAACGGTGTCACAGAGTAAACACAATAAAAACATGTATTATCTGCAGCATTGTTCATTAAAATGGCTCAACACTATTAATGTATTACAGAAAATATACATACGGTAGGCACTCTTAATGATATGGTAGACCGTTGCATTAGGTAATACATTCAACAAGTACTTATACATTTAATACTTTAAGTATTTTTAAAAGCAAGTACTTTTACTTAAGTAAAAAACATTAATGTGGTACTTCTATTTTTACTAAGAATACATTTTTGTCTGTTTATTTGTACTTAGCTTAAGTAAAGTGTTTGAGTACTTTCTCCACCTCTGCCGTTCGGACCAGCTTTCAGCTCATCAGACTGTTCAGAATTATATTTCTCCAAACTGAGTTTGTTCAAGCTATTCTTAACAATTCTACAAAACCCCTCTTATAAAAATGTTGGAAGTATCCCTTTACATTAAGCACGTTTTTCTCCGTGTTCTTGGACTACAGTGGTCCCTCGTTTATCACGGGGGATCTGTACACTGAAGCCCCACGATAAGTGAAAAACCGCGAAGTAGGAATATAGTAGTCCAAGTTGAAGTTAAAGTAAAGTAAACTTTATATTAAGGCTTTAGGAACCCTTCCCACACTCTTGCAATGTTCTAAACTCTTGAACCTACATCATTTTAACAACATATGTTACTAAATTTTACTAACCAGGCTCTGCAGAACAGGAACGGCTCGGTTCTGGTCTGACCCGATGGATGGAAAAAAGTCCCGGTGCAGCGTGACTGAAGCCCACCGCTCCGTCCAGCTTGCGTCCTTGTGCTGCTGTTCCAGGAACAAGGCTGCCCAGGATTTAGTCTACCACTTCTGGCCCGGTTCGGACCAGCACCGCGCGACCAGAACCAGGCTGAACCCCACAGCCGTCTGTCGCCTGCAGCTCCCAGGATCCGGGTCACACTGAGTCCAGATCAACTGCAGCCCAGCTACTCACCAGTGAAGACAGTTTTTGTGTAGTGTTTGTGTTTGTGTGTGTTGCTGTCTCTAATCCCTGCGTCAATATTTTTCTCAGGCTGATCGGTCCAGGAGACACTTGACTCAAGCTGTGAATAAGAGGAAGAGTAAGCGTAAAACCTGCCGCCCCAGCATCTTCTCTCTCCTCAGCCACGACTCGAAATCCAACCCCCTACAGACGAGTTTCCATGACAACACAAAGGCAGCAGACTGTTAGCAGGGGATAAAGGGGTATGTGCTAGCAGAGTTGCATAGCGCCATTATTTAATTTGATGCTGCTTAATTACACAGATACGTTTCTTTAAGGTTTGCAATTGAAATACACACCATCTTGTAAAATAAGTCTGTTAAATAAATAAATATATTCTCAGGTGACCAGAGTGAGGAGACAAGTGAAGCTTGATCCACCAAAGAGAGGGAAGTCGGGTCGTTCTGAAGCGTTCTCCGTCTTGGTGAGCTATCATGCCATGTTTATCGTCTCTGGAGTTTAATATTTGATTTGTGTTTAATCGAGACCTGTCCTCTGCAGGGACATCCACGGGCTGATGGTCAGAGCGATGGAACCAAATGGACCGTGCAGACGTCGGGTGTTGCAGGATGGGTTGTTCTGTCGGTTTCTCAAATCCTAACAAAGAGTGTGCACAGGAAGAAAAAGAAAGTAGAGTAAATCAGAGCTGCTTTAAAACCTTAAGATGCTAGTTTAGTTTCTGAAGCGAGGCTCTGTGGAAAGGTTAAGAATAATCAATATGTTACCTGTTGTATATACCATATTTTTCATTGTATAAGTTGCAGTTTTTTTATATAATTTACATTCCCTGCCACTTATAGGCAGAAGCAACGTATTTATGGATTTTTTTCCCCATATTTATAAACCAATTTTTGGCTGACCGTTTTCATTCATTCTGACTGAAAAAAATTGAACACTACTTTTTCAGCCACTAGATGGCAGCAGAGTAGTAAGGCATGCCATTGTATCATGTAATTGATAAAAGTGGCTTATGACTGTAATGACAAATTCAAAAAAAATGTCAAGACATAAACAACTGGACTTTATTTATTATACTTTAATTTTTTAGTTTTTATACTTTATTAGTTTTGTCTTGAACTTTTTTGAATTTACCATGTCCTGGATTACTGAGAATCTTCACCAACTATTAATGACATAATCGGCTTGCCGTAGACTGGCTACCTTCGTTCTGCTCGCTTCTTGGAGCAACCGTCAAACCAGCTTCATTTCGTTGCACCGCCCTGGCGAAATACAGCTAATTTGACCATTAAAGTTCATTTATTAAATAAAAATTCAACTGAGACATACCTATGATATAATTTTGAGCAAACAAATAATTGTTTTAGGCGCTTATCTTGTTAAATTTCAAAGAAACGTGCAGCGTTCCTCCTTTTTCCTCCCCGTCTGCACGCTCCCAGGAGCATAAAGTCAGTGAATACTTGCGAAATACAGCTGATTTGACCATTAAAGTCCTTTTATGAAGCAAACATTAGACTGAGACACACATTTGCTATAAAGTCGAGCAAACAAATAATTGTTTTTAGGTGTTTGTCTTGTTAAATTTAGAAGACATGAACAGCGGTTCGTCCCTCTGCACGTGCCCGCTTACGCGAATCGGGTTTTGAAATGCAGCTGATTTGACCGTCAAAGTGCATTTATTAAGTGAAAGTTAGACTGAGACACACCTTTACTATAATTTCAAGCAAACAAATAATTGTTTTTAAATGTTACTCTTGTTAAATTCTTGTTAAAGTCCTCCTGTGCATTCTCCTGCGGCCGTCATTTGGCAGCCCATCAATTTTTGGCACAACACCATCTCACATTTCCAGGTTGTCAGCGGTGTCGCATAATAGAAGCGACGTATACGGTGAAGTGACATATTATGGATTTTTCTACTTTATTAGACAAATATGGACTGATGCGACTTATAGGGCGGTGTGATGTGTACGGCGGAAAATATGGTAACTCTTTGAGAAACATGACTTTGGAGAAATCGAGTTTAATTTTGACATGATGATGAGCTAACGGCTAGTCTGAGTAGGTCCAGGACCTACATGAGTTGCTGCCATTTAAATCAACTCTGAATTTGAAAACAGTGGTGATAGCAGCTAGCAGTAGCACTTGTGACATTGCCTGGAAGTTATGGAAGCCCAGATTTCCTTGATGCTTGCTGTCAGCTCTTCTATGTTGTTGGGTCTGGTGCCCTTCATTTTCCTCTTGAGAATACCCCATAGATTCTCAATGGGGTTTAGGTCCGGTGAGTTGGCTGGCCAGTCAAGCACTGTGATGGCATGGGCATCAAACCAGGTTTTGGTGCTTCTGGTGGCATGGGCAGGGGCCAGATCCTGCTGGAAGATGAAATCAGCATCTCCATACAGATCCTCAGCAGAAGGAATCATGAAGTCCTTTAAAACATTCTGGTAAACTGTTGCGGTGACCTTGTATTTAAGAAAGCAGAGTTTACCAACACCTGCACCGGACATTGCACCCCAAATCATGACTGACCATGGATATTTCACACTGGACCTCAAGCAGTATGGGTTCTGTTCATCACCCTTCTTCCTCCAAACCCTTGGACCTTGATTTCCGAATGAAAAGCACACTTTACTTTTATCGGAAAAGAGGACAGAGGAACCCGACAATTGTCGCCCATCTCCCAGATTCGTCTGAATGTGGTGGTTTTTGAAGCTGTGACTCCTGCCTCAAGCCACTTTTTCTGGATCGCTGCCAGATTCTGGAATCTTCTCTGTTTGATAATCCGCTGAAGCCCATGGTCATCTCTTTTGCTGGTGCATCTTCAGCTGGGTGTCATCGGCAAAACAATGGAAGTGAATGTTAAATTTACGGAAAATATTATCAAGAAGGAGAAGGTAGATTATGAAAAGAAGGAGCCCCACGGCAGAGCCTTGGGGCACACCTGAAGTCTTAGGGGGAGGAGTGGGATCTGAATGAAATAATCACCTTAATATCTACTTTAAAGCTAGGAATTTAAAAAAAAGTTTTGTGTTAGCAAAATTTAATTCTAACTTTGAAACTTAGCCAGCATTACTTACCTCAAGCAACACTTACCTCAAGCTGCCTTTTTGGACATGCATGCATATATTTGTACAAATTGTACTTGCCTATAGAGAGGAGATTATTACAGTCTCATAAAATCAATAATAATGATGATATCAGAAAGGTATCGGTATTGGCCGATATCCAGATTTGGGGATCAGATCGGACGTAAAAAAAAGTGGATTGGTGCATCCCTAGACTTTACTGCTTTTGTTGACCATAAGCCTCTCACTTTTGCTATGACAAAAGTTTCTGAACTGTGGTTGGTGTGGCAACAATGACATTTGTCTGCCATTTCAGAGTTTACTATGGACATTCAGCATGTGGCTGGCAAGAATAACCTAGTGGCTGACTGTCTGTCCAGAGCAAGGGTTACTTCTGTGCATTTAGGCATGGATTACCTCACCATGGCCACAGACCAACTGATGGACCTGGGTATTCTGGCCTTTAAGGTGGCCAAATCCAGTTTGCATTTGGAAGAGGTTTCCTTTCATGAGTGTGGTGCAACCCTTCTTTGTGATGTCTTGACTGGCAAGCCTCGACCTCTGGTTTCTAGTGGCTGGTGTTGGCAGGTTTTTGATGCAGTTCATTCCCTTTCATACTTGGGGGTGAAAGCTTCATTAAAACTGGTAGGGACAAAGTTCATGTGGCCAGGTCTCCGTAGAGATGTACACACATGGGTGGCTTCCTATTTAACTTGCCAGCATGCCAAGGTGCAACGGCACACTAAGGCTCCACTGGAACAGTTTCCTATTCCACAAGGGAAGTTTGAGCATGTGCATGTGGACTTAGTGGGCCTGCTTGCACCTTCCAGAGGTTTTTACCTAGCTCCTGCCTATGGTGGACAGAGCTACTCAGTGGCCGGAGACAAGTTCCACTGTCATCAACCACTTTGATTGATGTGGCTCAGGCATTTATCTCCTCTTGGTTATCCCTGTTTGGTGTGCCAATGGAATTGACCTCTGAAAGGGGTCCCCAGTTCACCTCAGAGTTGTGGACTGCAGTGGCAGAGAGCCTTGGGGTTAAACTCCACCGTACTACTGCCTACCATCTGCAGGCCAATGGTCTTTGTGAGAGGTTCCACCACACAATGAAGGCTGCATTGCAGGCATCGTTGGTGGATAATGGCTGGATGGATTGCCTGCCTTGGGTTTTGTTGGGCCTGCATTCATTTCCTTAAGAGGACCTGCGGTTTTCTTCAGCTGAGTTTGTCCTAGGCCAGCCTTTGAGGGTACCAGGGGAGTTTCTTCCAGGTCTGGTGGGTTGGGTTGCTCCCAAGGGGAGTAGGGCGGTCCTAACAGGGGAAAATAGATCTTTTGCTCCATTGGCAGCACAACACTGCTTTCCACAGGGGTTTGTGCCAAAGGACCTTATGTCGGCCAAGTATGTATTTATCCGCCATGACGCACACCATTTACCACTTCATTCTCCTTACGATGGTCCATTTCCTGTTTTGGAGAGGGGACCTAAGGATTTTTTTGGTTGAGTTGGGGGTAATCAAGAGAGTGTTTTGGTGGACCGTTTAAAACCAGCCCATGTGTTACCAGGGGACAGGGCTGAGTTGGCTCAGCCACCTCATCGTGGCTGTCCCAAGTTTCTTTGCCCACTCTTCAGTGTTTTTCCCCCTACAGCTGGGTTGCCCCCCTCAGGTGAACAAGTTTAGTGGCAGTCGGTCTGGAGAGTCTCCTTTACTTTTAACCCATGATGCTGTGAAAAGCAGCCGTGGTGGCCGCTTTATTAAAATCCCTAGCTGTTACTGTTAGGTATTTTATTTATTTATTTATTTTGTGTATGTGTTTTAAAACTGTAATGGGTTTCACAGGTTACATATTTTTGTGATTGTGACATTCTGTGTGTTTGGGGTGGAAGGGTGGGGGTCTGTGTGGCAGACACAAATGTATATATTTCACGGCAGAATGTATTCTCTTATTCTGAAAGGGACAGAATATAAAAAGAAAACACCAACGGTTGTAATTAATTTGTTTTTCTGATTTTGATGTTGGAAGACGTGGAGAATAAAGCGAGACTCAAAATCTAGAAAAGTTAAATCTGGTCCTCTGGTTTTGGTCTGATTGGTCTGATTGGACCAGACCAATCTGGTCTGGTCCATATAAATAAATTTATATGCACACATATATATACTCATTTAAAAAAATATATATACAGTATATACATATATATATATGTGTATATATTTATGTGTTTGTATATATATATATGTATATATATATATACACGTATGTATATGTACATGTTTATGTGTATGTATATATATGTATATTTACACACACACACACACACACACATACGTATATATATATATATACATATATATATATACAAACACATAAATATATAC